CGTCAGTCATGCACTTCGGATGGCAGGTGGTGGCCATCAACGTGTTCGGGAAATCGAGAAGGGCCACCTCACTGCAACTGAACGCTTTCATCTGGGCGCGCGGAATATCACTGGCGGGAGCACACTTGGCCACACTCGGGGTGACAGCCTGGCGAAGCGTGGCCTCCACGAGGGGGCATCGGAATCTGGGGACCACCAATCGACTCTGGTTGCATGCATCACCTAGCCCCACGCGACGACGAAACTGCCGAGAGAAAATTATCCCGGCAAAGCAACCTAACAGCGATGTGTAGAAGCATGTATGGAAACATTCCCCTTGAGATCCAGATGAGAATCCAGTTGTAGAATTCTCCTGTTCTCGCAGTCGCAGTCGTATTCGCGATGACAGTCGCAGTGGCAACGGCAGTCACAGTCACAGCCTCAGCCTCAGCCTCAGCCTGCCTCAGTATCAGCCTGCCTCAGCCTCAGCCTCAGCCTGCCTCAGCCTCAGCCTCAGCTGCTTCTCAGCCTCAGCCTCAGTCTGCCTTCAGCCTCGGCCTCAGCCTCAGCCTGCCTCAGCCTCAGCCTGCATCAGCCTCAGCCTCAGCCTCAGCCTCAGCCTCAGCCTGCCTCCGCATCAGCCTGCCTCAGCCTCAGCCTCAGCCTGCCTCAGCCTCAGCCTCAGCCTGCCTCAGCCTCAGCCTCAACCTTTTCCTCAGCATCAGCCTGCCTCAGCCTCAGCTCAGCCTGCCTCGGCCTCAGCCTCAGCCTGCTTCAGCCTCAGCCTCAGTCTGCCTTCAGCCTCAGCCTCAGCCTGCCTCAGCCTCAGCCTGCAGCCTCAGCCTCAGCCTCAGCCTCAGCCTCAGCTCAGCCTCAGCGTCTGCCTCAGCCTCAGCCTCAGCCTCAGCCTCAGCCTCAGCCTCAGCCTCAGCCTGCCTCAGCCTCAGCCTCAGCCAGCCTCAGCCTCAGCCTGCTTCAGCCTCAGCCTCAGCCTCGGCCTCAGCCTCAGCCTGCCTCAGCCTCAGCCTTCAGCCTCAGCCTCAGCCTCAGCCTGCCTCAGCCTCAGCCTCAGCCTGCCTCAGCCTCAGCCTCAGCCTGCCTCAGCCTCAGCCTCAGCCTGCTTCAGCCTCAGCCTCAGTCTGCCTTCAGCCTCGGCCTCAGCCTCAGCCTCAGCCTGCATCAGCCTCAGCCTCAGCCTCAGCCTGCCTCAGCTCAGCGTCTGCCTCAGCCTGCCTCAGCCTCAGCCTCAGCCTCAACCTCAGCCTCAGCCTCAGCCTGCCTCAGCCTCAGCCTGCCTCAGCCTCAGCCTCAGCCTGCCTCAGCAGCAGCCTGCCTCAGCCTCAGTTGGCTCCGGGCATTCAAAATGTGGCCCGGGAATGGAGTTCTGGGAACTCGAAGAGCACGAAGTGGCCTACAGTTGGCTCCGGGCATTCAAAATGTGGCCCGGGAATGGAGTTCTGGGAGCTCGAAGAGCACGAAGTGGCCTACAGTTGGCTCCGGGCATTCAAAATGTGGCCCGGGAATGGAGTTCTGGGAACTCGAAGAGCACGAAGTGGCCTACAGTTGGCTCCGGGCATTCAAAATGTGGCCCGGGAATGGTGTTCTGGGAGGTCGAAGAGCACGAAGTGGCCTACAGTTGGCTCCGGGCATTCAAAATATGGCCCGGGAATGGTGTTCTGGGAGGTCGAAGACCACGAAGTGGCCTACAGTTGGCTCCGGGCATCCAAAATGTACGCCGGGAATGGAGTTCTAGCAGCGCCAAGAGCGATTTTGCGAGGATGTCCCAGGCGATTTGGGCTTCGGCGGCAGCCGCCCCGGGTCCCGCTCCGACCCCCCTGTGGAGTCATCTGCTGCTCTCTTTTGACACCACTAGAAACCTATCAGTCTTCGCTGTTAGGTAAAAACCCAACTGTCATCAGCATCAGGTGGGCAAGGTTCGAACCCCCCCACAGTCCCTCCAGGCTCCAGGGGAGGGGTTCGAACCCTCCCCCCGCGCCAGCGGCGGTCCCCCTCCCTCTCCCGGGCCGGTGCCGGCGCTGGCGGCGGCTGTCGGCGAGGGCGGCGAACGTCGACGGTGACGACGATTCAAGGGGGAGAGAGGAGCGTCGAACCCACCACCACCCTTTCCTCCGGGCCGGCGCCGGCGCTGGCTGGCGGCGGTGGCGGCGGCGCCCGCGACGACGACGACGACGACGGCGACGACGGCGACGACGACGGCGACGACGACGGCGACGACGACGACGACGGCGACGACGACGAAAACGAAGACGATGACGACGACGACGACGACGACGACGACGACAACGGCGACGACGGCGACGACGGCGACCACGACGGCGACGACGGCGACTGCGGCGACGGCGACGACGACGACGACGACAACAAGCACGACGACCATGACGGCGACGGCGACGAAAACGACGACGACGATGACGACGGCGACTTCGACGGGGACAACGACGGCGACGACGACGATTGCGACGACGGCGACGACGACGACGACAACAACGACGGCGACGACCGCGACAGCGACGACGAGGACGACGACGAGGACAACAACGTCGACGGCGACGGCGACGACGACGACGACGACGGCGACGACGGCGACGACGACGGCGACGACAACGACGATGCCGATGACCTCGAAGACGACGACGACGACGACGACGACGACGACGACGACGACGACGACGGCGACGAGCACGACTGCGATGACGACGACGACGACGACAGCGACGATGGCGACGACAACGATGGCGACGGCGGCTACGGCGACGATGGCCACGACGACGACGACGACAGCGGCGGCGACGACGATGATGACGATGGCGATGACGGCGGCGACGATGATGATGACGATGACGATGACGACGACGACGACGATCACGACGGCGATCACGACGGCGACGATGACGGCGACAACGACGACGACGACCACGACGGCGACCACGACTTTGAGCATGACGACGACGACATACGACGACGGCATTGACGACGACGACGACGAGCACGACGGCAACGACGACGACGACAACGACGGCGGCAACAACCGCGACGACGACAATGATAACGACGGCGACGACCACGACTTCGAGCGTGACGACGACGACGACGACGTTGGCGACGACGACGATGACGACGACGACGGCGGCGACGACAACGACGACGACGGCGACGACGACGACTTCGAGCGTGACGACGACGACGTTGACGACGACGACGACGATTACGACGACGACAGCGGCGACGACAACGACGACTACGACGGCAACGACGACGACGACGACGCCAAGCGCGGCAGGCACACGACGCATCGCGAAGTCACGGCCCGTCGATATTCCCGGCCCGTCAATATTCGACAGTCAGGGCCGAGGACAAAGGACTACCAGGGACCTCGTCGTCGTCGTCGTCGTCGTCGTCGTCGTCGTCGTCGTCGTCTTCGTCCTGGTCATCGGCGCCGCGTCGCCGACGTCGGCGCTGCCAGCCGCGGCCGCCGCGAGCGCCGGCGCCGGCGCGCTGGCGCCAGCGCCGGAGGAGGAGGGGAAGGGGCTCCGGGGACGGGGTGGGGGAGAGGGTGGGGGACTCCCCCGGGTTCTGTTCGACGGCGCCGGATGTTCCAGGGGTGGCCCCCTCCCGGTTCAAATGAGCCGCCGAATGGTTCCCCAGGCAAGCGCCCGTGAAACGCGCCCCCTGCAATGACACCATCCCCTCCTCCTTCATTTCACGCCCAGCAATCTCACGATCCTGAATGGCCTGCATCAGGGCCTGTTCCTAGATATAACAAATATTTGCGAAGGTATCCATCGTCTGCTTCGCGAAATCTGCATGCGTTGTCTGTAAACTCTGGAAATTCGTCTCTGCCTGCAGCATCTGGCCCTGGATTTCTGAGATATCGTTGCTGATCTCTGTGGTCCCCCGATCCAACAGCTGGGCGAGAAAATCCACATTTGACGAGAGAGGTTGGTCAGCTCTTCCAGAGCGGCCAGCATGCTGTGGTCCGCCGTGCTCGCACCTGGGGACGGCGGGCTATCGGAGCGGCCAGGTGCTACCCCCGCTCTCCCCAGGGAAGCTGGAGCAGGAGCCCGCGAAGGCCACGGCATGGCCTGGACCGTCGCCTCCGCGGCGAGAGAGGAGAAACGAGCGGCCGCCGAGGTCCAAGGGCCAGGCGCCTCTAATGAGGTTAGGGATGGCTACGGGAGGAGGAAGCGGAGGAGGAGGAGGAGGGAGGAAGGAGGAGGGAGGAAGGAGGAGGAGGAGGAGGAGGAGGGGGAGAAGGAGCAGCAGCAGCAACACCAGCAGGAGGGGGAGGAGGGACAGGCGGCGGAGGTGGAGGGTAGGGGGAGGGGGAAAAGGAAGAGGAGGAGGGGGAGGAGGAAGAGGACCAATGTAAACCCAAGACCCATCAACGATGTTGCAATTCAACCTTCCTCCAAGTTCTTCCTTCATGGGCCCCTGCACGGACTCATTCACTGAGGGAAATGCCCCGTTTGAAGACAACCGTTTGAAAATCCAGAGTTGTGCTAGAACACCATTCGTAGGACATCAACGCCGCGAATCAATGTACTGTTGCGTTTTGACGATCCCCAATCGTACCAAAACACAATTTGTGGGAATTGGAGGAGGAAGAGGAGGGGGAGGAGGAGGAGGATGACTGTAAATCCAGAGTTGTGCTAGAACACTATTCCTGGGACATCGACGTCTTGACGATCTTGAACCGTGCCAAAACACTATTTATGGGACGTCAGCACCGCGGATCAACGTGAAACTCTTGCAAACTGTTAGAACGAATACGCCCGGCACTGCGGCGAAAACCACATCTTGAAAACGGGCCGTCCTCCATCTGCCAAACTATTGCAGATTCAAATCTGGAGGATCAAGAATGGTGAAGAAAACTCCCGCGAAACGCCCGGCCCGCACTTTCGACTGGCCTCGGGGCGCGACAGGGAGGAGCTACCCATAAGGGAAAGGACGGGAGGGGGAGGAGGAAGGCTAGGCTCCTCCGCCGTTGAACGGGTCGAAATTCAAGTCCAACAGCCCGCCCCCGCCCGGGGCGGCGGGCGGGGGCGCGGCCGGCGCGGGCCGCGGCTCCTCGCGGGGCGGGGCGGCCCCGCGCCACGCTTGGCCCCCGATAGCAAATCCCTCCCTTCTTCCCTCCTCGTCCTCCTCCTCCTCCTCCTCCCCCTCCTCCTCCCCCTCCTCCTCCTCCTCCTCCCCGTCACCTCCCCCCTCCTCCCCCCCTATCTTCCCCCTTCCTCCCCATCTCCTCCTTTTCCTCCTGCATCCCCCGTTCCTCTTTTCCCACCTCTCCTTCCCCCCTCCTCCCCTGTTCCTCCTCCCCGTCCTTCCTCTTCATCCTCGGCCAGCTGCCTCGGCCCGCGGGCGGGGTGGGCTATCGGGCCCGTATCAGCGATGGGTGGACGATTGGGTCGTAATTGAATTTCCCTGCGCGCAATTCAATCAGCCCCCAACAACTGTAGAATTAACAAAGCACGCAATATCACAAACACTTGCGTTGGCACGCGCACATGAGCTGCGCGCAGGACGCCTACGAATCCGCGACGCTAGAAGCCAAACAAACTGTGGCACAGCAGAACGTCAAATTTTACACAACAAACAAAGAACATGTGACACGAAAAGACGCTCACATGTAACAACTCATGTGGGGCGGGCCGCGAGAAATCCCCACCCAGATGTTGCCTTGCTGCCTTGTTGTCAAAAGCTGCGCGGGCGAACGCATTGGCGCCCCAAAGAGGAACGACCCGAGGAAACTGCGACGGCCACAAGACACGTCGATTCGTCGGTCGTTGCGTTTCGCTGACAAAATTTAGAAAAATGCTGCCAGCGCGAACCCCAAACAATCTAGCAACGTTGCGTTATATATATACACATACATACATACATACATACATACATACATACATACATACATACATACATACATACATACATACATACATACATGTATGTATATATATATATATATATATATATATGTACGCGGTGCAATTTATCTGGTGCGATTGATTTTTACGAACGAATTGGCACATTCCACGCGTTTGCAAACATCCCATCCACCCACTCGCAGATTGGCTTGCAAAAGCCATGCGGTGGCGATTGCGATGCATGCTGGGCGTTGGCTGGTGCATCTCTGCAGCCGCGCCAAGCCAAGCACGCGCGCGCACAGCCAGGTAGTTTGGCGCGACCGACGCGACCGCGGTGGCGCTGGCCGCTGGGCACATCCCAGCGGGCACTTCACTGCGAGCCGGCGACTTGGACGGGCGCGGTATCATGGCAACGTAGACAACGGTAGACACGATGATGATAATAGAGATGTTAGTGACGATACTGACAACGACGACAGCGCGGCCAATGACGGCGCAGATGATGATCGCACCGACGACGATGACGGCGTCCTCGCGTCGGTGATGAAGCTTTTGGAAAGAACTCGACATACGCGCGCAGCCGACGCGCGAGAGTGGACCGCATAGTATTACTTAACACGGACCGCGCCCCCCCCCCAAGCACCCGCGCAAAGGCGTGCCAATGATGTCGGTATGCGGCACCAGAGGCTTGCTTGGCAGATTTCCATGACAATGTTGACAACCTATGGTTTCTTTGCAAGAGCGCGAGCGCAGCACGCTAGTTTGAAAAAAGTGCTGCGAAACCATATGTTTCATATGTGTTTTGGACAGTTGGTTTTGAAATCGCCACGGCTCCGAAATGTTTGACGGATTGCGGCATGCGCGCGCGACGGCGCGCGCGCACTCCCTCTCATTTGTTGCGAAGGATTCTCGCGGCGGCACGCGCGCAAGGGCGTTCGAACGATTTCGACATGCGCGCGCGCGAAGTCCCTTGGTAGCAGAACACGTTAAACACAAGCCATGGTTTCCCAAAAATTCGCGAGAGCGCGCGCAACTGATCTCCGATGATAAATGTTCGAAACCATGCGTGGAAGTATATACTATATATGTGTATGTATGCATGTATTTATGTGTGTATATATATATATATTTATATATAGTGGGCACTCGATGTTGAAAGCCTTGCGAAGCCGAAAGTTTTTGAATCATGTCGGCATGTGCGCGCGACGACGCGCCCGTGCGTGCACGCCGTCATATTTCTTCTGCAATGGATTCATGGACATTTATGATGTTTGGTATACGGGCGCGCGCGCGAAATATTTCTAGGGAGGGCGGCGGGGGGGGAGGCTGGCTCGGCTGGGATGGATCGAACCCAAATTTAGCATGGACGATGGGGCAGAATCGCACGCCATGTGCAATGCGAAAGAAGGGTGGGTACTTCTGGAGGGGAGGGGGGAGAGTCTACTGATTCCCTGTCTAGAACGGATAATCTCGGTGGCGCACTGGTGCAATATATGCGCGCAATTAGTTGCTACGAACATTGACATATTCCATGCTCTTGCAAACGTCCCACCGCCCGCCCAAAAGTAGGCTTGCAAAACCATGCTGCGGCGATTGCGACTAATTGTTGGCGTTGGCCAGTGCATCTCCGAGGCCATGCTAGCCCGCGCATGCTCGCTCGCGCAGCGGCCAGCTGGTTGGGCGCGACCGACGCGGCCGCGGTGGCGCTAACCGCTGAGCACTTCCCAGCAGGCGCTTCAGCGCGAGTCGGCGACGTCGGCGGGCGCGGTGTCATGGCGACGCCGACAGAGGCAAGCGCGATTATGAGAGTTGCGATAATTGTGGCAAAGTCGGCGATGGCGACGGCAAGGCCAGCGCAAAACTCTCACGATTTGTTACCGCAGGGGCCGATGTGCCCGCAAGAGCACGGCGCTTAACGACACCCACATGGGGCCGATGCGACCGCAAAAGCACGGCTAGATGGCGACATCCGAACCCTACTAGCCCACCAACCTTCGATTCTCCTGAATCGATGGGAGGCCGGGATAGGGTTCGGATTTCGCCCCGTGTTTTACAAGCTCCGACCCCTACCCCCGCCGCCCATCGAGTTGCCTGCGTCGTTGATCGGCGAGGGTAGGGTTCGGATTTCGTCTCCGTACGGCGCACACAACACCTCGGAGGTCCGCTCAGGCTTCTTGGATCGGCGCTGGAGCGCGCCTGGGGCGGCGCTGGAGCCGCCGCCAGAGGGGGTGCCCACCGCCGATCCGAGAGCTCCGCGCGGAGCTCCGACAATCCACCCTGTTCTTTGCCCCCCGAGTGGAGCCACGGCGCCCCACGCCGCCCACCTTCGCTCCCCGAGGGCTCCGGGTCGAAGCTCAGGCCGCCGCTCCCAGCCGGGGGCGAGCTCTTGGGCGGCGCGCCGCCAGGGAAGAAATCGTCGTCGAAGCCGCCCTTTTTGTCCCTCCCGCTCCTGTCGTCATCGCGGTCCTGGCTTGCGGCTGGGCACGAACAGAGAAACAAACAACTGCGTAAACTTAAACTTTCGGACCTCCGCGCAGATTTCTTGAATCGGCGCTCGACCCCTCTCCCTGGCGCGCGGAGCGTGCCAGAGGCGCCGCCAAGAGGCTCCGGCGCCGATCCGAGAAATTCGCGCGGAGCTCCGAGAAATTATATTTTTGCAGTTGTGCGTTGTTTCGAACGAAACCAAGAGATCTCGCAAAGAGCCTGTGCAGAAATATTGGGACACGAGCGTGAGGAAACGCAGCCACATGGTGATCGACGGCAGTCTATTCCACGTGCGAGCGGCCCGACAGCCGACAGCTGGACTTGACAGCAGTGCGACAACGGGACACGCAAAGCGGAAACGACTGTCGAAGATGGTGGTCAAGACCAGCTGACCGATGAGGCCCATCTGCAACTGTCCAACAGTTATCGGCGGCGCGCCTGGGGGGAACGTGAGAAGGGCAGGCCTTCTCAGAAGGCGGCGAGGCTTCTCAAAGCCCTCGCGCCGTCTGAACAGGTTTCTGTGCCTTCGGGGAAGGCCTGGAAAACTTCTCAGAAGGCCCGAGGCCTCCGGAGCCTTCTGAGAAGGCCCGCGCCCTCTCACTTCCCCCTCGGGCTCGCCGCCAATCTTCCCTGCTCCGTCACCTTTCCAACCTTCCCCTCTCGTTTTCCCGCCTGGCCTCCCTGTTCCTCCCAGGGGCGTGGGGCATGCACACGAGAGAGGCCGAGGGAGCACGGGAGGCGGGGGCCAGGGGAGCAGGAGGGAGAACATTGGCCTCTAGTCCGAGGAGGAGAGCGCGTGCTTGAGTAGTTGAGCGCAGGATGCGCGCAGGAGGGCAGCGAGAATTCAAGCATTCGAGCGCCAGAAAAACGTACTTGGCAAAGCCCCTCGCAAAGAGCGGCGACGAGCCTCCAGGCACGAAGTGACGGCGCAGGGAGGGAGGACCGAGCAGCTTGCTCTCGCGCGCGATGCAGCAGTGTCGCGCGCACTGAACAAAGCCTGAAGCCTCCCCCAGACATCTCTGGAAGAAGAGAACTACATTAACAGAAAGCCTAGGGGTCCGAAATCTCCTTTTTATGCAGTTTTCTGTTCTTCGACTCTGGTCCGAGTGGGAAGGCGAGCACCCTCCCTGTCTGACATATCGAGGTCCCCCCCACGTGGAGGCAGCCAGGGGGGGTCTGAACTGGTTGGGACCCCAGAAAGTCGGTCAGGACGGGGGTGAAAATTATCCCAGTGCGACCCTACCTAGGAGTTGGAGCCCCTAGGAAAGCAGCATTAGTAGTAACAGAAAAGCTAAGCTAAAGCTAAGCTAGAGCTAAGCTAAAGCTAAGCTAAAGCTAAGCTGAATCTAAGTTAAAGCTAAGCTAACGCTAAGCTAAAACTAAGCTAAAGCTAAGCTAAAGCTAAGCTAAAGCTAAGCTAAAACTAAGCTAGCGCTAAGCTAGAGCTGAGCTAAAGCTAAGCTAGATCTAAGCTGAAGCTAAGCTGAAGCTAAGCTGAAGCTAAGCTGAAGCTAAGCTAAAGCTAAGCTGAAGCTAAGCTAGAGCTAAGCTAGAGCTAAGTTAGAGCTAAGCTAAATCTAAACTAGAGCTAAGCTAAAGCTAAGCTAGAGCTAAGCTGAAGCTAAAGCTAGAGCTGAAGCTAAATATAAGCTAAAGCTAAGCTGAAGCTAAGCTGAAGCTAAGCTAGAGCTAAGCTAAAGCTAAGCTAGAGCTAAGCTGAAGCTAAGCTGAAGCTAATCTGAAGCTAAGCTAGAGCTAAGCTAGAGCTAAGCTGAAGCTAAGCTGAAGCTAAGCTAAAGCTAAAGTAAAGCTAAGCTGAAGCTAAGCTGAAGCTAAGCTAAAGCTAAGCTAAAGCTAAGCTAAAGCTAAGCTAAAGCTAAGCTAAATCTAAGCTAAAGCTAAGCTGAAGCTAAGCTAAAGCTAAGCTGAAGCTAAGCTAAGCTGGGTGAACCCAGGGGGCGCAACTGGGGGAACCGCGGGGCGGGGACTGGAGGAACCGCCCGGGGCGCTTTCCACTGCCCGGCCCCTTTCAGCTATAGAGTAAGAACCCTTCTAGGCAGAGCCTAGGTAGGGAAAAAATCCGCTCAAGATCGGTGCCCAGATCCCTGCCGGGGTCCATCTGGCGTAGTGTTTCACCCCGGATCCGTTTTTCACGGTCCCAAGGCCTAGAAACGGCTCCTGGAGACTGAAAATGGTAAAAACCTTTCCCGAATTGGCTGGAACAGGTGCTGCACTGGGCCACCTCAGACTCCCAGGCCACCACCTCATCGCCTGACATTCCCGCGTGCACGGGCTGCGCAGCCCATGGGTCCCGTCGGTCTCGCCGGTCCCTGTCGTCGTCGCGGTCCCGCCGCTCCCGGCCGCCGTAGCGGTCGTCGTCGCGGTCCCGGCGCTCGCGGCCGCCATTGTCGTCGTCGCGGTCCCGCCTCGGCGACTCTTGGCGGCGCGCACAAGGGGGTAGACGGTAGGGGGGGGGGGGGGGCAAAGCGTCTTAGAAGGCGCCGCCCCTATATCTGCAGGCAAGGCCAGTCCCTTCTAAGAAGCAGCCTCATTCTAAGAAGCCTTCCCCCTCAACCTACCCCCCTGTGCGCGCTGCCAAGACTCCGAAAAATTGGCAAAGGGTGTAGTTTGCAACCGGCCCTCTGGGGGGAGCCCTGGGGGGAGGTCGACAGAGCTCTCCGCTGCGCCCAAAGGCGGCCCGACGAGGGCACCGTGGTGCTTCCCAAGCCCCAACAACGTTCAACGGTGTAGGTCACAAACAACACCCCAGCGTGACCACACCCTTCGTGGTCTCCGACCAAACCCAAGTCGAAAACCTCTAAAAATGGGAAAACCAAACGTTACCGATACCAATACTCCCCAGACCTCCCCTGGGGTGGCGAATCCAGAACCTCGAGGCGTATCCAGCAGTGGCGGCGAGGGCCTCCGAAGAGGCCCAAAAAGGCTAACGGCTAACATGGGGCGAGTGTAGCGGTATCGGTACCTTTTCTCCCTCTGAGAAAACCATCAAAAAACCTAGAATCGAATCGATAAGCCGGATCGGCTATCGAAATGAATCGGATCGGCGAAAATCGGCAGCCGAGTCGGGAGCAAAGTAGAATCTGCGGAAATTCGTAAGCTAGTAAGCTTCCATTGAAAAATCGGCATCCAAACAATAATCCGAGGTCGAATCGGGTCGGAATCGGACGCCATCGAAGTCGAACCGAATCGAGTCGGAGAAGTCGAAACGAGCCCTGGCGCGAGCATATCCAAGTGCGAGTGGGTTCGACAGAAGCCGCTGAGACATAAGACTGGTGGGCGGCGCGCACAAGAGGGTATGTAGGGGGAGAGGGGAAGGCCTCCTAGGAGGCTCCTTCTTGAAGGTGCCAGCCCTACATCTACAGACAAGGCCCGCGCCCTCGAAAAAACAGGGGTGCTGCTAAGAAGCCCTCCCCCTCCCCCTACCCCCCTCTGCGCGTGGGCGCGTGCTCCGAGGAGGGCGAGTTCCTCCTCCTCCTCCTCTCCTCCTCCTCCCTCGCCTCCTCCTCCTCCGCTTCATCTACCTCCTCCTCCTCCTCCTCCTCCTCCGTCCCCCCCTCCTTCTTCTCCTCCCCCTCCCCCTCCTCCTTTTGCGTTAGGCGAACTTTAAGAACTAAGCTTGTAGCGTTCGTCCCCCTCCTCTTCCTCCTCCTCCTGCTCCTCCTCCTCCTCCCCTTCCTCCTCCTCCTCCTCCTCCTCCTCCTCCTCCTCCTCCTCCTCCTCCTCCTTCTGCGAGCGCACACTACATCGGACTGCACTTGTTTGATCCCTGAACCGCACCCCCCCCTACCCCCCTCTGCACGTGACCGATTTGGAGGGCAACCTGGATACGAAAACACCGCGGCCGGGGCACAAAGGAAGCATGTACCTCGGCTAACGGTGACAGCACGGTAAGCCCAGCGGCAGTCTTAGATGGCAGAGTAACCACCCCCAGAGTAAGCACCCCGACACGTCAAGCCCTTTGGCAAACGCAGCTCAAGAAGGGATCGAACAGGGCAGGGCTGTTTAGTAAACCCACATGGTTGTTTAGTAAACGCCAGTTATGGAAGTCGGGGTGGATGTTCCTCCCTTGAGGTCTGCATCTTTGCCGCAAACAAAACGGCTCTAGCAGTTCGGGCGAGGAAAAGTGGAGGCAAATGTCTAATCCATGCTGGCGGCACGCTTGCTTCGGCAAGCAGCGGAACGCGAGGTCAGGAGCTGCTTTGGCAGCGCTTCCTTCATCGCAATGCGTTGACCGTCCCGACAGTCAGATTATTGCGCTGCTGCTCCAGCGAAGCTCTCGGCTGGTAGCCTGACATAAGAGTCGCGACCGTCCCAGACCCCCCAGTGCTCACTAAGCACGGCGGAATCTGAAGTCGAATCGAAACGAGTCGGAGGAGTCAAAATGCGCCCTGATACCACCCTTTACAATCGCCAACCACTGGTCGCGGCCGTTCGGGACGATCTGGCCACCCCTGGAACGCTCCCGGCGAAGCACAGGTGCTGGCAAGCATCCCGACTCTGGAAGGCCGCCGAGCACGCACGACGAAGACCGTAAACCTAGAACCTCGAACATTGCCATCGGTCGGACGTCCAATCCAATCCCCATGCACTTTTCGGTTTCGTGCGTCTATTTTCTCGCAAGATGATCCACAATGCTCCTCGAGGGTCCTCGCGGAGAAGAAAAAACACACACACACGTCCGAGCGATGGCAATGAACCCGAAAGGATCCCTGACGAAATCGAGGAGTCGAAATGAGCACTGAAAGCACCTTTTGTGATGGGAGGGCCAAAACATTAGAGTTAGGGGGTCTTTAGTGCAAACTTATCGAACGGCACCACCCATTTGTTCAGGGGTATCCCTACACACTTACGAGCTCTTCGTGCTACTAAGGTTAAGGATTGCATGGTGCTTAATCAGAAACGATCCCCGACCAATTCGAGCTGGAAGAGTCGAAATGAGTCTGGTAGCCGCTCTTTGTCGTCGCCGGCCCGCCTGTCGCGGCCGCCGCGCTCGTCGTCCCGGCGGTCTCGCCGGTCCCTGTCGTCGTCGCGGTCGCGACGGTCCCGCCCGCCGCCGTGGTCGTCGCGGTCGCGCCGGTCCTGGGGGAGTCAAAAGGTCCACTGGGGAGGCCGAAGAAATCTCTCTCTCTCTCTCTGTATATATATATATACACATACATTTATGTACGCACTGCCCGCTGGCCAAGCCCATCCTGAACCCAGCAGCGGTGTATACGCAACGCCCTCCTGGCTTGTCCAGGAGGGCGTATACACAGCTCCTGGGCCCAGAGGGGATCAAACGGCTCAGACGAAGCCAGCACGAAAGTACAATCTGGTGAAGGTAAAGTGAAAATCCCTGAGATCGGGAAAATCTGGGTGATGTCTCGGGCGCGGCGGCCTTCTCAGAGCGTTCCGGAACATTCTGGAGCGGATTTATCCTCGTCCTAGCCCCACCGAGAGTACCTTGGGTGAGCCTTCATGGGAGCCTCTCTGGACCTCCGCGGCCCTATCAGGGGAGAGAGTTCTTGCGGAGTTCACGTCATCCTTACCCCCAGCGCGCGAGGAAGTCACGCAGCACCGCGCCCCCAAGCACCATTTCTGGGACGCGCGCCCGGGCGCGCTGGGCATGTCCAAGCAGGGGCCTCGCTCGACACATCCTCGCAAAGTCGACCCCCAGCGCGCGAAAACGTCAGGCCACACCGCGCCCCCAGGGACCATTTTCGGGACGCGCGCCAAGGCGCACCTGGCGTGTCCCAGCAACGCTCTCGCTCGAGACATCCTCACGAAGTCGACCCCCAGTGCGCGAGGAGGTGAGGCCCCGCCGCGCACCGAGGAGCCATATCTGGGGCGCGCGCCAGGACGCACCGGGCGTGTCCCAGAAGGGCTCTCGTTCGAGACATCCTCGCAAAACGACTCCAGGCGCGGACCATTTCTGGGGCGCCCTCTGGGGGCGTGTCCCAGCAGGGCTCTTGCTCGAGACATCCTCGCACGGCGCGCGAAAACGTCAGGCCTCACCGCGCCCCGCGAAAACGTCAGGCCACACCGCGCCCCCGAGGACTCCGGAACGCGCGCCCAAGCGCGCTGGGCGTGTCCCAACAGGGAGGTCAGGCCCCACGGGACCATTTCCGGGGCGCGCGCCGGGGCGCGCCAGGCGTGTCCCAGCAGGGCTTTCGCTCGGGACATTCTCGCAAAGTCGACGCGCGCGAAGTCAAGCACCACCGCGCCTCCGGGCACCATTTCCAGGGCGCGCGCTGGGGCGCTCCGGGCGGGTCCATAGCCAAGGGCTTCCGCTCGAGACACCCACTCGCAAAGTCGACGCCCCTGCGCGCTGAATCGCCCTGGGCCCGACGCCAGGAGGGAGAGGAAAAGAAAGAGGATGAGGATGAGGATGAGGATGAGGATGAGGATGAGGAGGAGGAGGAGGAGGAGGAGGAGGAGGAGGAGGAGGAGGAGGAGGAGGGCGGAGGACGACGGAGGAGGAAGGAGAGGAGACTAGAAATGAGGGTGTAAGAAAGTGAAGATGGCCTTCCGCGAAGGAATGTAGAGCGACGTAGAACGAATCTGACTATGTAAAGCGGGCGCGGCGGTTGCAACCTTGAGCCGAGCGGCCACAGGAAGCGACCCCATCACGCACTGACAAGGACAGGGTAGAAGGCAGGCGGGGCAGGAGGACCTGCCGTTCGAGTCTGGTGCACAAGCGAATCGTGTCTTGCTGAAGAAAGGGCTCTGCCGACCGCCCTCCCCATACAAAGCTGCCTGGCTGCAGGAGAAAACCTCGCCTGAATTCGGCAAGTCCCTGGTTTGGCGGACTTCACTCCGTTCCAAAAATATAAAATATATTGACCCCACGCTGCACCGACCGCAATAACGTTTTACGGCGCCATAGGCAGGAATGGAAGCACTCCCGCCAAACCCCGTGGCACTAGCCGAAAACGGGCGAATCGATCCCCATCCTGTAACAGTGCGAGGCTATCAAGTCGACTACACGTAGAGGTGACCCTGGGCTGGAGTGACCTTTGGTGCGCGGTGTCAGGGGCGCCCGCGGGGGCCCAGCGCGATCGCGCAAGCCGGCGCTGCCGCGCCGCATCAACGATCGGCGGGGCGCAACCCGAAATATTTGTCGTGCCAGCGGGCAACCGCGGAAGTCCGCCGATTTAATTCAAGCGCCCCGAATGGCACTTCAAAGGCGCTGCAAGAGCAGACGCTGCCAGGGGCCACCGCGAGGTCTGGCACTGCCGGGCTGCATCGCGATGGCGTCTGACCAGGCCTGACGCCATGGCCAAAACAGGCCCCATCCGAGAGCCAGGAATATGTTTGAATATCTTTGGATAACCTATAGTAGTAAAGATCCCCATGGATTCAACAGCATGTTCAGATATATTCAAAGATATTCAAAGATACCAGACATTTTCCAGCCAAACGTTTTCGGATAGGGCTTGAACTCGGGACTGGTCCTGGGCCGGAAAACGCGCCGTCTCGTCGACGGCCCCCCCCTGGGTAACTAATGCAAGCTGTAGGGTGCGACGCGCGTGCGTTGCTGTCGATTGCAAGGGGTGGGCCCAAACCTGGCGCGGTCAGATGCGAGCGCAATCGCGCGACGCAGGTGCCGACGCGAGGTCGTGCTCAACCCACGAGAGAAATCACCCGACCCCCGCTGGGCCGGCACCAAAGGTCACTTGGGCGAGGGGTCACTCATACGCGTAGTCGATCAAGGAGCACCTGCAAAACCAACTGCGAGCTGCTCAGACACAATCTGGGCGAGCCCGCCCACTTGAGTGCTCCGCTACTCGGTCTCGCCCGCCGATGCTGGAAATTCGCTCGCTGGCTCCGCGTAACCTCATGGCGCAGTCACCGCGGCGTGGCCATGGCTGATCCGGCCGTCCTGAGGATTAGCTCTCGGCCCATGCTGCCCGTGGTCATGGCGTCGGCCCGCGTGTTCCGCGCGTCGCGCTGGCGCCGGCCGTCGATCTGCTCGGCGCGCAGCTGGTCGGCTGACCACCGCAAACGGCCAGCCATGTTGTTCTCGGACGGCGGCGGGGCCGAGTCCATGAGCAGGGCGCCGAAGACGGACGCGCAATCTATAACGAGGTCTGCGAGGACCGCGCATCCTCCTTTCGCCCTCTCCTGATCTCCTCGGCAGAAGCGAGGCCGCGCGCCGCCTCGCGCAGTTCGAGTAGGAGGCGCGCCTGCAGACCGTCTGCTACAACGCATGCAGCGAGCAGCTTAACGCCGACTGAAGATCCGCGCACAAGCATGCGACGTCGACTCGCAGCGCCCCGCAGGTGGCGCGCCTGTTTGCCGGCGCGGCGGACGCACGCATTCGGCGCCTCTCACGCCGCATCCTGGCGTCTCCCCCCTTTTGAAGGGCCCGCCGCTGCGCGCGCTGAGCCGCCTGGCGCAATCCAATGATGGGGGCGCGATGCGTGCCTTGATCTTCTGCGTGGCCAGAACAACGGAGTTGAGCTGCATCGCGCGTCGGATGAGCAGCTCGTTCTTGGCTCTGCGCAGGGCGACGATGCACGCTGCGACGCGGCGCCGGGCGAGCACGGCGCGCGCCGCTGCTCCCGGGAAGGAGACGAAGGTCGGATGGGGGCGGTTTTCACGGGCGTTCGCCTCGGGAACATTCGGCGGCGCGTTTCGTGCCAGGGGGAGGGCCCCTCCCAAACATATTCGGCGCCGTCGATCAAGACCAGGGGGGGCCCACTCCCCCATGACGCCCGCCCCCCCCCCCCCCCTGCCCGGGGCCGGCGCAGGCGCCGGCGGCGCTGACGGCGGCCAGACATCCCAATAATGATGCCCAAGTACTTGCCAGAGGACGCCAAAACAAAATGTTCCATCCTCAGCCCGCATCACGTAGAGGAGGCGCGGATCTCGTCTACGTCAAATTCCCTCCGGATGGCAATCGCAAGCTCGCGGGGGCGCAGCGGCAGACCAGGGGGCGCTTCCGCCGGCGCCAGATGCCGGGCCAATAGCGGCAGGCGCCTAGAAATATCGCGAGAAACCAAGCCCGCATCACCAGCAGCAACCGACCGAATATTTCTGGGGCCAGGAGGAAGCCCACGGAGAGAACGAATCAGCGGGTCAAAGACCAAAGCGCGCATAATACCACAAAGCGGACGCCCTTGTTCGGAGCCGCGGCCCAAGGGGAAACGGTGGGACTGGTTCCCGCGGAAGGCAACCGCGACCTCCTGATAGAGGGCTTGAAGGGCGCGCAGGAGGGATCTGCGCCTTCTTCAAAACGCGCCGCGCCCGCCAATGAGCAACAGAAGGGGAAGCGGCACGACTGTCAAAACATGCGCCCCCAGCCTCGCGAAACCCAGCAGCTTCGGACCGCGACATCAAAGCGGGGCTCACGGAGATGACATTCTCGGCGTGGTTCGGCCCTGGGACAAGCCCATTTTGGCGTAGATGAATGGAACTCTGGCCAGGGGCCCCCAAAGGCTCGGCCAAGGCAATGGCGAGAGTGTTGTTGTCCGTGTCCGAAGAGGGGAAGCAACCTGACCTTTTCTACAGTCCGCTGCTGGAGGAAGCTGTTTGGGTCGGGATCGCCCCTCGGTAAAAAAGGCGCCTGGGGACAGGTTCAACTCCGGCGAGAGCGCGCCGCCATTGCAGATATGAATATATAACCCATGGGGAGTATCCCAACAATGTCCCCCTCCCTTCGCCCATGCGGTGTAGGGGGTCCCATCCACTCCAGGAGCTGAATCTTTCCCAGTCTGGATCATCTGGGGGAATTCATCTCGCGATAAAACCACCCGGCATCAGATGATGCAATCTGGATCTCCCGACGCATGCCCTGCAACAAAACCGATGGGGTTCCGGTAGACTGTCCGGGTCAGCGCCCGCCTCGAACTTAAAAAAGGCCCGGCAATGTCGCCCCAATGCTTGGCGGGAGCAGCAGCGCGCGCATCGGGCCCGTGAGACACCGCCCCATCAGAGCCCACTATACGGCGTGGCTTAAGTTTACCGCGAGTAGGAGCCCGAGCGCGAGATAATTCAGCGAGCCGGTAGAGCTGCTTTTCTTTAGCCTGATGGTGCATATTCATATCGTCGGTGACCTCCTCCGCATCCTCCTCATAATACCTCCTGCTACACCGCGTACTCGCATCAACGAACACATGATAATCAAGCCAGATCACGTTAACGGAGGCGTAGTTAGCTGCAAGTTCAGAAAAGGCACGGCAAGCTCTGGGCCACTCGACCGACGGCCAGCCCGATGGGCCCTAACAAGGGCCACCGCCCACGCAAGTTTTTCGGCAGCGGTCGCAGGCCCCGGGATCTCACGCTTCTTCAACACTCTAGAGTTTGCCTCTCGCAGTGAAGTCTCGATGTCTTGCGCTCGCTAGAGAGGCCCCGGGGAGGTCTCAGCTTCCTTGGGCAGTTCCAGCAAGAAGCTCTTGAACAGCGGCGATCTATCAATCCGCCGCGGAATGGACTTGCGATTTCCCCGACGCGGTTCGAGGGGGGGAAAAACAGCGGCGCGGTCAGACGGGTTGTCCGTTTACGTGACAGGCCAGCATGTTCCATACATTCGGTTCAAGTCTAGTAGATAATGAGTATGTAGACCTATATATATATATACCCGATCAAGTCGAGCAAGAGAGAGTAGGATCTCATGTTGAACAACTTTGGTTTACCTCGCAGAGATGGTCAAACTTGGCGCCGCAAAAACTTCGGGGGGAAGCAAAAGGGGCGCTGCGCGAAAGCGCTGAAGCTGAGCACGACGGACCCCGAAACGAAGACAACGGTCAAGGTGCACGCGAAAAAATTGCAGACGCCCATATTCCCCCAACGCATCCAACGAGAGACACCCCCCCTTGACAAGCTCGGTCGGAACGAACAGGTCAAAGAGCCGAGCAGTACGCTCGCGGACCATGATGACTACTCCACCAGCAAACTCCTCGGAGGTGAAAGAACCGAAGCGCCTGTGCAATGGGGGCTGCCTGGAGAACTCTGTTAGATCCTCGGGGCTGCCGCTGGTCTTCTGCAGCGCAAGAATATCATATTCACCCCCAAACCACTTGAATGTACCCGCGTGTTTTTGTTAGTAGCATGACTAGCCCAGGTACCGCTGAAAGGGTATGCACTTTCCACGTCACCATTGATGTAGGGAGGCGTGGGGCGCAAGGGGAACTATGCAGATCCAGGCCAGGCGATGGGGGGAGAGGGGGGGGGGCAAGCGGCGACAGAGACAATTCGGGCGGTGGCCCAGACAGGCAGGCCGATCGGAGGAACCGCACGAACTGCTGCTGCTGGAAGACGAAGGGCGGGAGGCCGAATATCCTCTGGAGGCCGAAGGCGAGGACGCTCTGCCACGCGAAGCCGACGGCTGGACCCCAAGTCGAACGGCCATAGTGGGAAGCGGCAGTCTGAATTCAGGAGGAGCAGGCTGAGCAAAACTGACATGATCCACGCCTACTCACAGACGGGTATGCTCAATGATCTCACCAAATATTCTGTGCTGAGATGTCCAAGACCTCAAAGGCCTTCTCGTTGGGCAGGAACCGTTCGACGTCCAATCCGCTATTCTCGCACAGGACCACCTCGTCGATGTATCATCGAAAACATAGAGAAGACCTCTGCCGCCGTTGGCTCCGAGCTTGTGCTTGGCCGTCCACCGCGGGGACTTCTGAAGCTCGGCTTTGACAGCCGGGTAAAACTTCGCGAAGGACTTGGACCTCAACCTGACTGGGGGAGCCTTATGCGTGGTGTCTAGCCACTTGTGGGCACTATTCTTGAACGCCGCCTGGAACTGGGAGGACTGGACAGCACTCGGGAGCTGCAGCTTGTGCGCTTTGCCGACAGAAGGCACATTAATGGACGTTTCCTTCAGCAGCACCTCGTACTTAGCTCAAGTCATGAAGGACCTGGCGGGAAGCAGAAAGCACTGCCCGCGGCCCAGTGTCAACCCACCTCGTCGTAGGATTCTTATTAAAATCAGAGCGAACAGGCTGCTGCTAGTATCTGGGGGCGCGCGGTCCACCACCATCACCACCCATCACAAAACCATCATCATAGCCACCACAGGATGCTATTCCCGTAGTCGGTGCTCCCGAGGCTACCAATGCTTTGAGGTCAGCAGTGTCACAGGCATGTACTTCACGATCTTGGCATCTGAACGCAGGGCATCAAAATCCTTAGCAAGTTCTTCGTGAGCCGACTTGGCATGACCGATCTGTCCACGAACTTCATTGACCAAGAAGGTGATGGAGGCTGCATCAGCGAGGTCCGCGGCCTCACCTTGGGCCTTGTTCTTGGGAGCCCTGGCAGGAATGGAGAGGAAGAGAAAAAATGACCGCCTGAGCTTGACCTCGGGAGCGCTCCTTCAAGAGGATCTGCCACACTCAAATGGGGCATGTCCCCACCTTGAGCCAAAATGGAAACCGAAGGTGGAGGAGGAGGAGGAGGAGGAGGAGGAGGAGGAGAAGGAGGATGGAGTTCATCAGAGATGTAGTGCGTTCTCTACCATGCACTGGGGTGGTCGCGCATGCAAGGCACATCGTTCGCGTCTGGCAAGCTTTGGTTCTCGCTCGAGTCACCCTCGCCAGGCGCGCGAGAAGGTCAGGCCCCACCGCGCCCCCAGGCAGCATTTCCGGGGCGCGCGGCGGGGCGCACTGGGCGAGAACCGGCAGGGCTGTCGCTCGAGACGTCCTCGCAAAGTCGACCCCCCCGGCGGGCGAGGAGGTCCAGGCCCACCGCGCCCCCAGGGACCATTTCTGGGGCGCGCGCCGGGGCGCGCCGGGCGTGTCCCAGCAGGGCCCTCGCTCGAAACATCCTCGCAAGACGCGCGAGGAGGTCAGGCCCGTCGCCTTCCTGCTCCACGCTCGACTGATCCTCACCCGCGTGACCCTCACTCTCCTGATCCTCCCCCTCGCGAGCCTCGCCCTCCTGATCCTCGCGCTCATTCTCCTCTCGATCATCCTCCTCTCGCCCCGAAACGCACGCCCCTTCTTCCATATACAGAAAACCCCCGTCAACCGCAATGCGGCCAGCGTTAAATATGATTTCGACGGATGTCGTGCAGATTTCGACCACCCCACTTCACCCTGTCATCGAGATTTCAATTTCTTCTAAATTTCGTCCAAGGTTCGTTCATATCTCGGAAAAAAAAAGACAGAGGACATCCGTACGAAATGCAGCGGTCCTGGGGAAACCGACTGTACCGACTTTCGGCGGCGCGCTCGGGGGCGAAGTAAGAAGGAGCAGGCCTTCTCAGAAGGCGCCTGGCTTCTCAGACATCCTCGCGCCTTCTGAACAATTTTCGGGGAAGGCTTCGAAAACTTCCCAGAAGGCTGGAGATCTTCCGAGCCTTCTGAGAAGGCCCGCCCCCTCCCCTCCCCTCGGGCGCCCCGCCGACGAAAGGTACCGGGCAGAATTTTCCGAGGCGAATTCTGCGGTGGCGACGAGGGCCCACCAGGAGCCCCAAGAAGGCGAGAACGGGACAAGAGCAGCGGTATGGGTGCCTTTTCTTCCTCTGAGGTCCCGCCCGCCGCCGTGGTCGTCGTGGTCCCGGCGGTCACGTCGGTCCCTGTCGTCCTCGTGGTCTCGCCGGTCCCGGTCGTCGCGGTCGCGCCCGCCGCGCCTGTTCTGGTCGTCCGCGTCGCGCCGCCTCCGGTCGTCGTCGCGGTCATCCTGGTCGCGCCGTCTCCGGTCGTCAGCGTCACGCCCGTCCCTGTCATCACGACGCCTGGAGAACCAGCAGATACCAGCAGTATATACAAGTTTGGAGGCTGCGAGGGTGTGAGAAGCTGGCGAGCCGCGACCACCACATGGTAACTGGGTAGCGCAAAAATCCAAAATCGCTACAGCTTCGGCTGAGGCTGATTCGGGCTTCCACTGACCCGGGTCAATGCAAACACGGGTCAGTCAAGCTTTGCAAAATACTGTAATCCTGCAGGATCCTGCGAGCTAGCCCGGGTCAATGCAACCCTGGCTTTGCAGGATCCTGCAAGATCCGGCGCTCTGGCTGACCCCGTTTTGCATTGAACCCCGTCTCGGGGCGCCCGACTGATTTGCGACCACCTCGAACAAACCCGGGAATGCACCGGGGTGGGTGGCAGAAGTGACCCAATGCCCGTTGGACGGGCTTGAGCAAACCTGTTTCCGAGATGAGGCGTGCAAAGGCCACTGACACGTGAGGGCAAGTGGGGGGAGGGAGGGAGGGAGGGAGGGAGGGAGGGAGGGAGGGAGGGAGGGAGGGAGGGAGGGAGGGAGGGAGGGAGGCGCGCAGGAAGCAGCAGCCAAATACTCTCTGCTTCGCGAAGGGTGCGAGAGCAGGGGGCAAGGCTTACACGAGCGCCTGAGGGCGGGCCAGGATCCCACCAGCCCTCTGGGCGCTGGTGTTACAACGAATTCTGCGGTCTGTCCTTACCTCAGAAGACCCTCCTTTCCATATTTGGGGAAAAGCTTATCTCTAGTTCTTGTCATCCTTTCCAACCTGACCAAGGGCAAACCCAAACCATGCCCCCCCCCACAACCGTTCCTGTCAAATGACCATACAAAATGCACTTTGCGGCAAAATCTGGACCATGCGCGGGCACCCAACGCTCACTCTGTAATGCTGTTGACAATGATGACAGGGGCCAGGGGAGCGGCCTATTGCCTGCCGCGCGCAGGCCCACCATCCCCTCCCCAAACCCATACCAACACACACACACACACATACACAAACAAACACACACACACAAACACACACGCACACACACACACGCACACACAAACGCACACACACACACAAACACACACACACGCACACACACACACACACACACACGCACACACAAACACGTACACACACACACACACACACGCACACACACACACACACACACGCACACACACGCACACACACGCACACACGCACACGCACACGCACACACACACACACGCACACACACACACACACACACGCACACACACACACGCACACACATACACACACACACTGCGGCAGGATCTTGACCATGAGCAGGCTCCCCGTGCTCACTCCGGTGATACTTATGCGTTGGGAGGGCGGGTGGGAGGGAGCTACACGGCTTGCTCCTTGTAGGTGTCTTGCCCCCTCCCCCACTACCCCCCGCTCAGCAATCAAATCAAAACGCAAAGCCGATTATGTTGCACCTGATTCCCCGAAAGAGGCGAGGCGGTGAAAAGGGGAAAGACGGCGGGCCCAAGAAAAACCGAAGCCAAACACGATGGAACAGTTTAACGGCATTCTCACAGGAGGCATTAACGCTGGGCTGGTCATGCATATTTCTGTCTCCGCCAAATGTTAGAAACATTGTGTATTGGCAACTGTCGAGGCTCACAGCTGCCCTGGACTGAACCAGCAGCCTTTCAACAACCAAATCAGAACGCAGCGCGGATTATGTTACACCTGATTCCCGAATCCGCTATCATATAGTATCCTGGCACGGGAGCGAGGGGGGAGGAGCCACAAAGAGGTGGACCCTCATGTCCTGGAATGCTGCGCCAAGCACAAAGCGAAGGCCTCAGATAACCCCTCGGGGTGCTATTGGGTTCTCTTTGTACGCCACACGCCATAATATTTGCCGACAAGAGACGCACGAGGCTGCTGGGTGAGACTGCGAAGCCCTCTGGAACCTGAACAGCGACGTCCCATATGACTGATCTCATCAAAATGCCAAGCCAGCAGTCTCGCGGGTTTCTCGCGCAGGATGCCGCGCGCGCACTGATCCAACACAACTTCTTGATACTCTGGAAGCACTTGTCTCGAGCGAACTAGTCCAGGATGATGTCAGACACGGGGCGCCAGCGGATTTTCGATGACAACGACCACTTGCATCGGCAAAAGCTCCCAGAGTAGTTCAAACAATCGCTCCACCATTTTGTTGCCTAGCTCGACAGGCGCGCGCGTAGTTGGGATATCCCAAGGGGTGCACTGTATCATCGCGCAATCTAGGGAGAGGCGGCCCGTCGCAAGTACGAATCCAAGTCGAGCGTGCCAGAGAGCAGAAAACTTGGCGTTCAGACCGAGGCGTCCTTCGGCGCTTTGAAGACACGGGCGATGCCTTTGATGGTCGACTCATCGGCAAGGCCCGCGCGCAGGTGGATGCTCGCGCCCCAGCATGCGACGCCGATGCCGCGGAGGCCCGCGCTATCCAGGACGCCGCGCGTGCCGCAATAGAGCTCTTGGATGCTCCTCTGCGTCTGCCAGCGGCAGGCGCGCCCAGGCTGTGGTCTGAGGACGAGCCCACCTGACAGGTGATCCACTCGGCCGCGCGCCTCGCGGCGGCCTGCTGGGCGGACGACAGCGTCGCCCACTCCTGCTGCACCGCGCCGGCCGCGTTGGAGCTCCACCTTCCGCGCGGCTCGACGTCCAAGAGGGCGCGGACGCCCATCGGGATGTCGCGCGAGGGGCCGGCGTGGCAGAGCTGGCATAGGCGGTGCTGCAGCTCTTTGGCCAGCCCCAGCTCCTCTTGAGCCTTGCCCCGCCGGGCGCCGAGCTCCCCCTCGCTGACGGGCCGTCAGTGACGGCGAAAAGCTTCGCGGGGCGCTGTCCGCGCAGGCGGCGGCGCAGCGCGGGCCCGAGCCCGAGCATGTAGGGGGGTCGAGGAGCAGCGCCCCGTCGGAGACCCCGACCTTGGATGTCTCCCCGCGATGGGCGGGGCGCGCGTTCAACGCCCAGCGGGTGCTCGAGCCCCCTGGAGGCACCGAGCCCTCCCCCCCCTGCAGGCCGTGGACGTCCACGGGCCGGAAGTAGCGTGCGAACGTGGTCAGCAGGCGCAGCGGGATGGCCCTGTCCTGGAGGCGCCAGCGTAGATGCCGCGCGATCCAGCGCGCGACCTCGAAGGGAACTGGCGGCGCCGTCTACGCCGGCATTGGCAGGCCTAGGCCTCGAGCAGCTCGGGAGAAGCGGGGGGGCCTCAACTTGCCGACGGGGGGCAGTCCGCGCAAATCCACGCGGCTGCCGCGCGCATCTTCACGAGGCCGGGCCGCTCGAAGCCCCCGAGAAACGCGCTCCGCGAAGTCCGCCAGCGCAATGTCTGCATTCTTCGCGCTGTCTAAGGCGCAGCCGTTCATGGCCTCGAAATCCTGGAGCCCCCCCCGCGGGGCTGCGTAGGGGGCCTCCGCGAGCGCCGTCATCGAGCGACGCTCGAGAATGGCATGGCGGCCGGCCAGGGCTTGATTTACACAGGCCCCGAATGTGCCCGGCCGCCGCTCGCGGCGGGTCTCCCTGGTCGGTCCCGAGATCCGCCCCGATGCCCCCTGCCGCTGAAGGCGAAGGGCAGGCGAGCTGGCGGGGCTAGAGGGGCGCGAGCCCCGGCGGCGCATCCGGGGACGAGACGTGACTCCTTGCCCGCGGCGCGCCGGCGCTGTCAATGGGCCTGCCCGTCGGGCTGGCCCGCGGGCCTTGGCGGCCCGCCGGAGCCCCGACGTCTGGCGCCCATCGCCTGGAGACCCCGCCCGCTGTGTCATTCAGCTCCGAAGGCGTCCCGCGCGGTGAAATACTTGAGCCAGTAGCCAATGTATGCGCGGCAATACGTCTGATGATGATGACCAGGTCGCACGACGACGCCCGAGACCGCCCAATAGCCAGAGCGTTCTCCAATTGATCCCCCAATGGTAATAAACGCTTTTCAAACGAACGAGTTTATCGCATATAATACTGCACCCCCAATAATGATGCCCGAGCCTCAAGAATAGGCATGGCCTCCTTCCTCCTGAAACGCATGGCGAAGGCCTCGCGCCACCTGTCGGGGTCGGCGAAGGTCTCTGGTACCTCTTCGAACCCCCGGTTATACTCCAGGCCCTCCAGGGCCTCCCCGAGGCTTGACGGGTTATAGGCAATGCTGTGTCCAGATCGCCCAAGGGGCCCCCGCCTGGTGCGTATCAGTCGGCGCAACTGCATCGCGCCAAAGCCTATATCCAGCCGAGCCAGGCCAACGAAAGCCAGGGGCCGGATCCAGCGAACCTCGCGGCGAGCAGATGACCGCGAACTTTGGGGGCACTTGCCCGCCTGCTGAGCGAAGTCGCACGCGGCGCGCAGCGCTGATAAATATTCTCTCCCGATCTAAAAAATCAGCCACATGTCCAAGGAACTGTTTCATCTGTCTGCTCGTGACGGGTTGACCTCCTTCGAATGCCTCGCAGACCGTGCGCGGGCGCTTCATTCGCCCTGGTCGGTTGCGAATGATCCGCGATTCCCCATCTATCACGCGCCCCGGCGAAAAAGACAAGAGGTCTGGGTCGCTCTCTGCATGGGCCGTGAACTGCGCGAAACGAATCCGAGCGACGATGACATCCGTGGCCTCCTGAACCCCCCCCCCTCCCCATGCCCGCAACATTGGTGTTATCGCAATAAGGGGGAATGGCAAGATGGGCCCCGAAGTCTGGGGCCAGGGCGCCATCCCGCAGAACCTTGGATGCGAGCCCCGTCTCAGCCAGAGAAACCCGACACTGGTGCTCCACAAGGCGCCGGGCGAAGTAAAAGGCCCAGGAGAAGCGCGCGGGGGGGGCGAGGGGCATGAGATGCACGTTCGCGCCCCAGACCAAGTCCCCAAGAGCCTCGGAGCCCCCGGCGCCCGCGTCGACCCTCTCCCCCTCGGCGACGGGCGGCCGGGCGGCATGCAGAAATGGCGGCGCAGCTCTGGCAAGTTGCGAACGCTACGGAAGCAATCTTTCACATCGGCCTGCGCCGCCCAGAGCTTACCTCCCCCGCTTCCACCGTGATCCTCTTCGCCGCCATTCCGCCGAGCTTCCTCCTGCGGCCGTTCGCGGTTAGCCCGAGCTGCGGCAACCCCATCTCCGGGGCTGGCTGGGCCCGAAACAGCAAGTTCGCATTCCTACAATCCATAGTGAAACGAAATCGGCCCTTCTTCCTGACAGCGCAGAAGGGCGTCGCAACTCCGTCCAAGCTATCATATTCGCGTTGATAAGGTCCCTCGAAAACTCTACGCAGACGTCGCGCTGCGTCTGGGAAGTCTCGTCGAAGTACAACCTAGACAGATGCCCGGCCTCTCGATACATCCCCACATCAGCAGGGCCAGCTAGCATTCGAGCACCCCATGACTTCGGCATGTCCTGGTCAGGCCCCGGGAGAGCAGTCAGCAGATCTGCCGAAGGCCTCCCGGGATCTGAAGGGAAACCTGGTCCCGCCGAAAAGGACGAATCGCGGTGCTGCAATTGCTTCCTGAATAGTCAACGACGCCTGAACTCGCGAACGGCTCCGCGTTTGGCGCGCGAGGTCTGGAACGGCGGAGTGGAGGCGACGCCGCGGGGCATCGCATCCTGTGAGAGCATCTGGCCAAGCGCAAGGGTCCCGTTGTTTACCTCAGAGCCGCCGCGCATCTCATTCAAAGCATTGGTGACAGAGTTGGTAGCTCTATCCAAAAAACCTCCTCCTCGCAAAGCGTCTTCGCACTGAGCGGGAAGGACTGCCCACGGTGGCCGACTCTTCGGCAACCTCGGGAAGTGAAGGGAGATCTCGAGGCCGAGCTCTCTGGAAAAAACCGTGGACCTCCGGGGCGCGTCGCCGCTGGAATGTCAGGCCCCAGGCCTCCCAGGGGGAGCTGCGTCGCCCCTGCCCCTATTGGTCCTTCTCCTTCTTGCCTCCGCCTTTGCCGGACTGTCGGCCGAGGCGGCGCTCCTCTCGTGCCTTGCGCTGCTCCTTAGCCACCTGGGGCTCGTCGCGGAGAAAGGTCGACGCGCGCGGCTGGAGCTGGGGCGCCACCATCATGCCCCGGCGACGGCGACCTCAGCCCACGTGGTGATCTGACGCCGAGTAGTCTGGCGCCGATGGGTTCAGCGAATGAGCTGTCTCGATCAGCTGCAGCCCGCGGCAGCTGAGCTCGGGGCCTGGAGTTGATCAGTGCGGATCACACTCTCCAACACCTCCGAGAGCACCTCATGCTCGAAGACGCTCCGATCGCCACTCGAGACTCCTGAGGTGGTTCGCCAAGAAGCGTGCTGCGAGACTGGCGTCTGGGAGCGGTCGACGTAGGTCTGGCATCTCCAGGCCGCTGTGCCAGGACCCTCGAGGCCCAGGCCCCCCTCAGCTTCATCGGGGACGAAGTTGGCCGCCCCATCGTGGAAGGGCCTCTTGCGGCGGCCCATGGCATCGAACTTTAATTGCAACGCTCTGAGATCATCCATCTTGTACTCGTCCATCGCGCTGTGGACGATCATCTGCAAGAGGACTGCTCCTCCCTCAGGAGTCGGGACAACCGCCCTCTCGCCAAGAACTGTCGCGCCCGCTGGGAGCTCGTCGACGACGTCCCCCTTCTGATGGCGCATGTAGTCCTCGGCGTAGACCCACGCACGGCCCGCCACGGCCCGACGGGCACCCGCGGCCGCGGGGCGCCCAAGGCCGCGGCGCTGCGCATTGCGCAGAGGGCCGGCCACAGGGGCTGGCGGTGGTGCAGGCGGCGCTCCCAGCATGCCCTGGCCTTCGCCGTAGAGCCTGTTACGCTCTGCTGGCTGCAAAAGCTGGCGGAAATGATAGATGATATTCTCCGGCGCATGAGCCGGGCGACCTCTTCGCATTCTAATCGAGTACACAGCCTCCACATCGTCCAGGGGCGAAATGTTGAACTGGTAATGATCCTGGTCGGCTGTGAGCAAAGTCACCTCGGCCGGGCCATCGGCGCTGATGCCAATTATCATCACCTCATGGTAGACATCTTCTCCGACTCCACCATACTTCATGATAATGAAGTCACCCCGAGACGCCATCACTGCGAGCTGGCCGACGATTGACTCTCAAGCATCGCGTCACGCCGAGCTCGAATGGCCGCGACCTGCTCGGCGGCCAACTTCCTCCTGGATGGGGTGATTGGCGACTCGACCGATACATTCGGCGGCGTCTGAACTGCCACCTCCTGCCTGGGTCGTCCTGCGCGTCCGAGACCCACGCCTACGAGCAGCGAGATGAGCTGGAACCCGACGACGAGGAAGGGCGAGCCTTCCTCCTGCAAGGGGTACAACACAGTCGGACACCACCTCCAGGCACTCCTCGCACTCGGGGGCTGGCGGCTCCACCCCTCCCGCCTGCAGGGCGGATGAGTCGACCCGCTCTGGCGTCGGTCGCAAGAAGATGGAGGCCCAGCCTGGGACCCCCGCTTTCGCCGCGGCAACGTAGGCGGTGAGAAGGCTGGGGCTGTGCATTCACCCAAGGAAGCATATGAGCTAAACACTACAAACAAAAACTTAGCGGCGTTTTCGCAGGAGGCATGGACGCTGGGATGGTCATGCATATAGGTATATATGTGTGTAGTTACAAATGTGTGAATGTGTATGTACACACACATATATATATATATATGTGCAAGTGGGGAGACTCCCGAGGACCAGGCTTGTTTTGCATCCGCAACTCTGTGTGATGACTCGTCCCGGAGCTCCGTGCAACATTGACTGACTGGGCGAGGTACCTCGACCAAGGAAAACTCGTCCCGAGACAATCACAGTCCACTGGACACTGCTCGAGCTGAAAATGGGATGGGAGCGCAGCGTGGGTGGGAGGCTTGAGCAAAAGTGACAGCGGCCCTCTCCCGCTCTCCACCACGCAACAAAGAATCTATGGCACGCCATTGCAATCTGTGCAAGCTGGGGAGACTCCCGAGGGCCAGGCTTGTTTTGCATCCGCAACTCTGTGTGATGACTCGTCCCGGAGCTCCGTGCAACATTGACTGACTGGGCGAGGTACCTCGACCAAGGAAAACTCGTCCCGAGACAATCACAGTCCGAAACCTAGAAACTCGAGCAACTACGAATTTCGAAATCCTGGCCTTAGGCCTACACAAACCTGTCCAGGCTCAGAAACGTGTGGTTTCGCAAAGCCTGTTGAAAACACTTAGCTACCAGCCTGCATAAATCTTTGGGATACGGTTCTGCAATGTGTGTCCAGAAAGTGCCTGAGGCATCTTTGCCTTCGAGGACCTGATGGGGGCGGCGGCTAAAACTGCAGACCCCGCGACCTGAGCTTTTACAAGGGATGAGCGGGTCGAGGTTGAGATGGCAATACAGCAGCCGAGTGCGTTTGCGCCAAGGGGTCGAGAACGCACAGAAATCAAAGTCCACCATGCGAGTGTTACGAATTCGAATGAGACTGAGCGCACCTGGAAGCTGCCACAGCCAAGACGTGCTAGGATTCTCAATCACAACTGGCATGTTCAAACTGCGGGCGAGCAAAAAGAGAGAGAAGCTGAAAGTGGCAAGCGCGTTTCCTCTCTCGACCTTGAGCTGATCTCCTGGCGACAGGCCTGGCAGCCCTAGCGGGAAAAATCTCGTCCGCAAGGGCGGTGGCCCGTTGGGGCGGTTGCGGGCGCGGCTCATGGAATGACAGGGCGTCGCAATCCAGATCGCGACGATGAGCCGACTCCGCACCCAGCCTCGAACCTGCTGCCTGATCCGCCTGAGGAGGAGATCACCGTCGGCGTCGTGGCGGATGTCCAGTTCGAAGGCGGCATGCTGCGAACGGAACCGCAAGCGCCACGCCGCCGACATCCGCCCAGAGCCGCTGAAGACCTCCAAGAAGACGCCCGCCTTGGAGCGCCTCACCCACGATGCCAGCTCGCCGACAGGGTGGCGCCAATCCCGCGGAACGCCTGCTCGGCACGGAGCAGCAGGGCGCGCGGCAGCCGGTGAAGCTGCTCCTGCACCCGACCGCCCTTGGCGTAGCGCCGGAGAGCGGCGTCGGTCGCCCACCTGCCGCGCTTCTGGATGTCGCGCAGAGGCCGCGCCGCCGCGTGCAGCTCGTGGCTTGCGCCGCCGTGCCGCAGCTGGTGCAGCGTCAAGTTCCCCAAGACCTGCAGGCCGAGCTCGGCAACGACGGCCTTGAAGTGGTAGTTCCACTGCGCGTAGGTCACGGGAAACAGGCGGTGGCCAGCGGGCGTGCGGCGGTGCAGCTCCTGCACGAGGCTTGGCATCCACGGGAAGCAGCTTGAGTCCACCAGCAGGCTCTCGTCGAACACGCCTGTCTTGGACGGGGTCTGCCTCTCGAACAGGTGGAGGACCACGCACCAGTGGTGCATCGCCGTGGCCGTGGTAAACCCTGGCGGGATGAGCTGCGACTGCACGAGATCGAGCGCCTCGCGCGGCCTCAGGTAAAGGCCGAACGTGAGCGCGGTGAGCCACGCGTACACCACCAGGCCCCTGCGGCACAGGGTCTCCACGATGAGGCACACCACAGGCCACGGGAGCGGCAGCCGCGATCGAGGCGGCGCCAGGCGAGACCAGCCCTTGGCTGCCCGCGCCGCCCGCGGCAGGCGCCCCTGGCGCGGCCCGAGGTCCGACCGCGCGAAGGCGAGGGCCGCCATCAGCTTCCACGCGTCGCTGCTCTCGCACCCGTCCAGGAACTCCTCGTGGAAGAACAGCGCCAGCGCCTTGTCCACCTCTGCCGGCGTCACCAGCGAATGTCCCCGCTGGCAGGCCCACAGGCTGAAGGCGGCCTGTCGACGCTGGTAGTCTGCCCTGGTCGCGTCCCCCACCGACTGCTCCTCCAGGAAGGTCAAGCCCCGGCGGGGGGCCGAAGCCGGGAGGGAAGGGAAGCGGCTCGCCCTCTCCTGCCGACGGACTGCCCGGCGGTCGCTCTCGGCCGGGCGCGCTGAAGCCCCCGGCGCCGCACGCGGCCTGCGCTGCAACTGGTGAGTGCCCGCAACACCCAGGGCCGCTGCCGGCCTCTTGCGAGCCCGCGTCGCCGGCACAGCAGGGGCCGCCATGAAGCCGAGGGCCGACATCGACAGAGGCGCCGCCATCCTCCCCGAGGCCCGCTGCCTGGGCGGGCGGGCAGGACGCGTCAAGCCTCGACGTCTTGGCCCGCACGGCTTCGGGGATGTCACCAGTCTGGTCACGAGAAGCTGGATCTGCGCTGTTATGTTCTGATGGGACCCAACGCCAGATAGCTGAGGACCCCGAAGCCAACAGAAGAGCACATGCTTGACGACAGATTCTCAGAAGCGGAGGCGACGATGATCTGCCCTTGAGAAGGGCCAACACTGGGGCCATGGAGTCATTCAAGATGATGTGCGTGGTGTTGAAGTTTCGAGCGGCTCGCAATCGATGTTTCAGGCACAAGACTAACGCTCTCCCCTCCAGTACCACCTGAGCCTCCCTCCTGGTCCATGGTGTAGATAGAACGCGATGCCATCCTCCCGCCCAGACCTCCTCTGGCACCTCCTCGAACGTGACCTCCTCCTCCTGATTCGGCTTCGGCTCGACTCGGAACGGGACCTGCTGCTCCATAACTGCTGCTATGACTGCTGGATCGCGACTGGGTTCCGACGAGGCTTGCTTGATGCATGACGAGGTGATACGCTCAGCTTGCTTGCGCTCCAGGGCTAGGGCCTTGTCCCGAGGGGCGACCTGTTTCTCGCCATCACGACTGAACCTCCATCGCTCGTTGAAGATAGACAGACGACGAGCTTGATCCGAGGTGATGGTCTTCTCTGTCACTCCTGCGCCCCACCACGAGGCGTCCACGCAAGACACGACAGGCGACAGAGGCCGCCCGGCGTCTCGGAAGCACAGGGGCAGCAGCGCGCGGCACCAGGTCAGCTCCCGCCTCACTGCCGGAGTCAGCCGCCGCCTCTCGCGGCCGCCGTCGCCCATGAAGCCGTACACGGCCCCTAGGCAGCTCAGCAGCTCTCGGCGAATTAACGCCCTCGACGTGAAGTGCGATATCACCTTCATCATGGTGTGACCGCTGCACCAGCCACGTTCCAGCAGCTCGCCAATGCCAAGGCGAAGCCGCCAGCGCAGCCGAACGCTGAGACCGATCACGGGCTTGTCCTCGTCGAAGTGCCAGCCCAGCGTGTCGCCGCCGACTGATACTTCCACGGGGTGCGAGGGAAGGTCTGAAGCCGTCAGCTCCCTCTGCACTGCAGTAGCTGCATCACGCACCTCGCGCAGCCTGTGGGACAGGGCGATGAAGTTGTCGACGTAGACCGCATGCGCCATCCCTTGCTGCAGGTCAGGCGCGGGCCGACGGTCCACGAGTCGACGGCCAAAACGGCCAGGAAGAGCACGAGCGGCCACCGCCTCGTTCAAGCTCTGACATATCCATAGGCTGATGCTCCAGCCCATCGGCGGGCACCGGAAGCACGGTACCACCCAGGCCGATGGTCGCACGGGCGCACCGTCGGACAAGTGCGTTAGCCCGAGGTCGCCAGCCCTCAACTTGGGCAGCCCAAAGTAGCGGCGCAGCCACTGCGGAAGCTCGATCTGGTAAAACGCGTCGCAAATGTCGACGCCCCCGATGCTGATGGGCTCGTCGCCGTCGACCGAGATCTGAGCGAAAGCCGAGCCCGTCGCCAACTCCACGGGGTCCGCGGGCGCAAACCTGAGCGATGCGTGCCTCCCGTCGAGGATCATCCGCAGCGACCCGTTCTTCTTGCGCACGAAGAACATGCCAACGTAACACTCCGCCGAGCTGCTGAAGTCCACCAGCCAAGCGTTCATAAGCCGCCGCACCACCATCGCGTAGAGGCGCGGGTTGCGAAGGGCAGGGTCCGTGTAGAGTCGTCTCGGACCTGCCTCCTTGATGCGCTCCATCCCCAGCTGTCGGGGCAGGAGTAACTCTTTCAGCCGGTGAGCGATGTTCTGGCCTGCCATCTCGTCGATAGTCTTCAGGGCGGCGGGTAGGCTGCCAGCAGGAGGCAATGAGATGGAGTCGACGAGGTCGAAGCTCACCGGGGCAACCAACGTGGCGTCACCCTCGTATGATTGAGATATCCGGAGCTCCTCGAGGGCCCCTGGACCGTCCGAGCCCTCTGGGCACGGGCCAAACCTCAAAGCGGCCTGGCGGAGCTCCGAGAGGACGAGGGCGCGGCCAGCGGCTGGCACCGGCGTGCCTGCGGGCGCTTGACGGCGCGCCGCAGGCGGGCAGCCCCGCAGTTCGTTCAGCGCGACGGTCATCTCCTCGACCATGCCGTGAACGTGCGACCGCTTCTCAAGGCGCCTGCGCACTGACCTCGAAGGCGGGGAAGACGTAGTAGGAGAAGAAGCTCCAGCGCCAAAGTAAGGTAAAGGAAAGAGATCACGTTGGCGAAGGTCGGCGCTGGAGTGGGGAGCCTCATGTACAGGTAGATCTGCTGCACCCGCGAGGCCCACGGGCGCCCCCTCTCTCGGCCTGGCTGACTCTCGGGCGAGGGGTACCCGAGAGCCGTCCGCGTCGCTCATGATGACAGAGCGCGACGCTCTTCACGGGCTTTCCGAAACCTGATCTGCTTCAGGATCCCTGCGTCGCGCTCCACCTGTTTGGAGACATGCTCCAGCAGCAGCGGGCATATCATGGAACGGCCATCCTCCTTGGCCGCCCCTGTGAACACCGCCGCCTCGTCCACGATGCCGAATCGATGGAGCCCTCCTCCCCGACCTCGGCCCCTCTTCTTGCCGTCGCCCTCGTTGCCGTCCTTGGAACCCTTCGACTGCTGCGCCTCGAACTCCATGGAGTAGATGTACTCGTACAGCTGTGCCTGACGAATGGCGGTCCCGTTGAGCTGGACAACATCGCCACGACTGCCACCACCCGTGCTCTCGAGGAGCACCCACACTGGGGCCAGCACAGCGGGCGGCCCAACCACCCCTGCCGCGGCCGGCGGCGCTGCGCCGGCGGCGCCCGCTGGGGCGCCTGCGGCCGGCACGGCGGCGGCCGCCAGGGGACCTGCAGCAGGGGCGGCGACGGCGCCGGCCCCGGCCACGCTCACCAGAGGCGCGGCAGGCGCTGCTCCGGCGGCGGCTCCAGCCGCGGGCGCGTGAGCGGCGGGGCCTGCGCCAGGAACGCCTGGTCCAGGGGCGGCTGCGGTGAAGTCGAACTCCAGGTATGAGCCACCAGCAGGAAACGTGCGCGGCCTGCCAGCAGCGCGCTCGCGGTCCAAGTACAGCTGGTCGGCTACCTGCACGAGAGCGTCCTGGATAGCGACCGTCTCTCTCGCGTTCGGCTCACGCCTGAACCTGTACAGCAGATTCGGGTCCACACCCTGCAGCGCCTGGCGCGTCGGGCTGAAGACCACGGCGACTATGTCTGGATTCCCCTGACCGTACCGCTCCTCGTACACGTCGTGGTCGGCGCTCGAGATCAGCAGGTCCATCGGATCACTGCTCCCCGCTGCTGGACTCGCCAATCTGCCCCAGACTCTCCGTTGATGCCAGAGCCGCTCTCCTCGATACAGCACCCAGGCCCAGCGCAGGACGCCGCCCGGCGGCGGCACCGTGGCGGCCATGGCGACGGCACACGAGGCCCTTCACGAGCCCGAGCGCGGCCCGCCAGCACTGGAGCGAAGCCAGCACGACGTGGCCCAGCAGCAGCGCCGCCCAGCTCCAGTCCGAGCTCGGAGACGGCTCTGCCGGCACCGGCGTCGGCTCGGGCACCGGTGGTGCCTGGGGCGCCGCCGGCGGCGAAGGCGGCGCAGGAGGCGCCGCCGGGCAAGTCAGCTGCCCCTCGGTCGCTCGGCAATGGACCTCCCCGCACGAGAGGTTGGGGCACGACACCGACGGGCACGCCGGCGAAGAAGGACAAGTAGGCGCCGCAGGACACGGCGGCGCTCGCGATATCCAGGCCGCCAGCAGGTTGGTAGCTGCGCCCAGGAGCCACACGAAGGGTCTGCCAACCATCCGCGTTTCTGCCTGGACTGGTGCCCCCAGCTCGCTGGAAGAAAGGCTTGAGCAAAAGTGACAGCGGCCCTCTCCCGCTCTCCACCACGCAACAAAGAATCTATGGCACGCCATTGCAATATGTATACTTGTATATATTATATACATCCATACCCATATTATATTGTATATTATATACATGTTATATGTATACAACCATCTGTATATGTTTATAGTATATACAACCATCTGTATATATTATATGCATCATAGATACGTCTGTATATCCACCATACAGTATATACAACCATCTGTATATAGTGTATACACCATACAAACATGAATATATGTTTATCTACATATATACATACACATGTGTATGCATACATATATGTGTGTATGCGTATGAAGCGTCCATATGGCCCCACTATCGCTCGAGCGAGCCCCGATCGGGACCCCATGGAAGGTCGAGCGCGGCCCCAAGAGCGCCCAAGAACGCCCCAGAAGGGTATGAAGGGACGAATTCTCGGGTTCCTCGGGGGCGCCAACTCGACGCCCTCCCTTTCCCCTTAGGCAAATCCATTGGGACACGTGATTTGTTTGTCACAGGCGATTGAGCCAGGATTGCTCCAATACTGCCCCAAATTCAAGAATGTGGCATCTTACATGGCGCAATCGAATCCAATGTAGGCCAAGATGGATTCCAACATGCCAGCCAAGCGCCCCGGTGTGGCTCCAGGTGGCCACGGAACCACCGAAGGACGCCTCTGGGAGGCCCCAGATCCACATATGGCTGCCAATCATATGCCCCTGTCGCTTCCAATAGTTTATAAAGCTTCAAAAGGGGGAGGGGTGGAGCCTAATTTAGGAGGGCCCTCCTGTTTGATCGATAGCCACCAGGATTGTTACAGGAGGGCCGAAAGTCCCAAGACGGTCTCATGGCTCCGAGAGAGCACGAATGTAGCTCTAAGAAGCTCCCAGCGGTATAGCTTGAACATGCGGGACTCTTGTTTGACGACATGCTTCTCCACTCTCCCTCTCCAGGCATCTTTATTGGACATCGTTTCTTAATGGGCTGGTGGGGATACATGAAGCGTCGAACATGTACGATCTCATATTGAGACGTTTGGCATTGGAGCTATCAATTTTGCGAAGGCTGAGGCAAATGAGAAAACGCCTTGCCCGAAGACGATGTTGGGCAAGAACGCAGGCAGATGGTGTAAATGACAATCGACGGCGGCGACGGCGGCGGCAATCGAATTACACGAATGTGCAAGCAAATGCCGTGGATTGCACACACCGTGGCTTGCACAATCATCGAAACCTTCGATCGACAACTGCGCATGTGGAAATCATTGCGCCTGAGACACAGTACCCAGCGAGCGAGGGGCGGGCGTCACCTCGTTGGGTCGGCCACTCAGGTGGCTCCAACTGATCGCTCGTGGCGCAACCGTGCACGAAACAGTGTTTCCTGTCCGCATCATGTCGGTCATCATGGCGGTCATCGCGGCCGTCACCGCGATGGCGATTACCATCCTCCCGATCTCGTTCACGATCCGGTTCGCCCCTGCTGGGCGGCATCAAGCAAGGGCACCAGCACGCCACGGCATGCGGGCGGCACGCCGAACGCATACATTCGTTGTGCAGGCTCAGAAGAGAGCACTCCCTTCGACTCCGCGGCAACGTTGAAGACTGGGCGGGGTGGCGCGCGAGGCTGGCTGAGAAGCCAGCGATAGCCGACGGGCGGTTCAGGGCCACGGTAGGAGAGCCCTGAATCGAATTAAGAGGTCAGATCGGCGATCGAAATTAATCGGATCGGCGGGAATCCGGAATCGGCGCAAAATGGCATGCCAATAAGGCCTCCGTTGAGAAAAAGGGATCCAAATCGGAATCGAAGTCGAATCGAACCCGAAGTCGAATGGAATCGAATTCAGGGAGTCGAAATGAACCCTGTGATAGCCGACTGGCAGTTGAGCGCCACGGTGGCCGCCAAGGGGGAGAAGCAGAGGACGCACCGCCGCGTTCTGCCGCGGTCCTTAAAAACCACCATTGACGTACAAGGCGTAAGATAGGAGACAAAACAAGGACATAAACACAATAACTCGGAGGCCCGCGCGGATTTCTTGGATTGGCGCTGCAGTACCCCTCGGCGGCGCCTCAGGCACCGCCCGCGGCGCGCTCCGCCCGCCAGGGAGGGGGATTCAGCGACGATCCAAGAAATCTGCGCGGACCTCCGAGTTTTTATGTTATGTCATTGCTTTACGAGGTGGGAGTATATACACATATCCAGCGCCTGTGGGACTGGCGTCGTGGGACCCGAGCGGGCGGTGGATCTGGATATATCAGGGCCCCAGGAGGCCTGAATATATCCATACCCGCCGCCTGTCGAGGTCTCCGAAGATCGATCCTTCAGGCGGTGGTTATGTACAAATCCCCGACTTGGAAGCTTGTACCCCGATCAAGGCTCGCGCGAATCAGATGGCAATGGAGAGAGGAGCCACACAGGCAAGGGTGGGCGTCCATGTCAGGAAGCGAACGCTCTTGTTTAGAAAGACACCCCATCCATCCAGAACGGTATGAAAGATCGATGCAAACGAGAAGGTGGTAGTTTTCTCGGTGACACGATCTGTGAAAGCGTTTGTCAAGAATGGGGCCAAAGATGAACTTAAAGCAAAGGTACCCCAGAGATGTTCCCAATATTCGGACCTTTGGCGCTCCGCGCGGATTTCTTGGATCGGCGCTGGAGCCCCCCATCGGCGGCACCTCAGGCACCGCGCCTGGCGCGCCCGAGTTGCTATGTTGTGTCTGTTTGTTTGTTCCCCTAGCCCCTAGCACCAGCCCGCCTGAAGTCTGCGATCCAACATACATAATCTCTGGGGTGGCTTTCAGTGGGGACAGAACTCGATCTGAGTAGATCGGTCTTTCCTTCTTGCGGGAAGAGTGTGGCCCCGCAAGGACTCCCTGAAGCCTCTGGAAGATCCCTGGAGGTCCTCACTGTAACCGCAGTAAGCTTGCAGTCCCGCAGAGGCCTCCAAAAACATCAAGCGCCCTGCACCCCACCCTGCGGAGGCTCGCTTGGAGGAGCGCAGCAAATTTCTCGGATCCGCGCTGAACCCTCCTCCCTGGCGCGCGGAGCGCGCCAGGGGCGGTGCCGGCCGGAAGCGCCGCAAAGCGGTTTTTCTGGCGCAGATCCAAGAAATCCGCGTGGGCCGTCGAACGCGTTATTGTGTTTATGCAAATTAATTTTCTTCTTTGATCTCGATTATTTGTCTACTTAGATCTGTGGAAGAAGCAACTGGCACCCCCTGGAGGCTCCCTGCTGGAGGCTCCCTGGATGCGCCAGAGGCTCCCTGGAGGCCTGTCTGAAAAGCCTCCTGGTCGCCACCGGCTTGCAAGTACCACACCATCCTCCGCAATGCTCGTGTGCCCCGCACCGCCCAAGGATGCGTCATGTAGCCTCTCTGGATGTTCCCTGGAAGCCCATGTATGCTCCTGGAGGACCCTGGCGGCTCCCTGTAAGCCCTGGAGGCTCCTTTCGAAGGGCCTCCAGGGCTTCCAGGGAGCCGTGAGCTTCGAAGGCTTCGAAGCTCACCGCAACCAAAATCTACAGTCAGGGTGTAAGAGTAACATCAAAGACTCTGGGATCGGAGGCTGGGGGTGAGATCGAAGTGGAACGGAGAGCCCCCCACCGGGAAATCGGTTTCGGTGTTCGTGTCGTGCGTGCGGGCGAGGCGCAGCTGCGTGGGCGGGCGAGAAGACTGAACCCTCCATTGCTAGGGCGCCGCCGGGACAGAAGTCCGCCCCGCCCCCCCGCACCCGCCTGGTTGGTGGGCGGGTGCTTGGGGTGTCCCGCTGTGGTGTCCCGATGGTGTTCTGTGGTGTCCCTGGGTCCCGCGGTGTCTCGATGGTGTCCCGCGGTGTCCCGATGGTGTTCCGTGGTGTCCCGCCGTGGTGTCCCAATGGTCTCCTGATTGGTGTCCCGCGGTGTCCAGGTGGTGTCCCGATGGTGTCACGGTGGTGTCCCGATGGTGTCCCGATGGTGTCCCGATAATGTCCCGGTGGTGTCCCGATGGTGTCCCGGTGGTGTCCCGAGTGGTGTCCCGTCCCGATTGGTGTCCCGATGGTGTCCCGTTGGTGTCCTGGTGGTGTCCCAATCACAATCATCGCAGTTGTTATCAGTTGGTTCCTCCCCCCAAAACTCCTTATCACCCGAAGGGTGATCGTATAGATCTACGGCTGATTACCAAGGAGGGCATGGTAGTCCTGCCAAACAATGACTCAATCCTTGCTGTGGGTTTTCATTGCTCGACCCAATGTTACGAAACACTTCTGTGCGCCACTCCCGCTGCACGACGGCTCCATCTGTGCTCCCTTCAGCCCGTGGAAGCTCCCTGGACGCCCCCGAAGGCTCTTTCGGGGTCCACGGGGCCACATGTTTGCTATGCCCATCTGACTCTATGCGGCTCTATTGCGCAAGTCACATTGGGAGGTCACCCAGAGGCTCCCTGGATGCCCCTGGATGCACTTCAAAACTCATGGAGCCCCCTTCTCCCTGTTTTCATCGCCTGAAGACACGTCGGACACCCCCAGGAGGATGCCAGAGATGCGCAAATTTGCGAAAGAATACTGT